CTATGGCAGATCGAAACAGCCTGTATGGTGTTGGATCGCCAATGCTTTGTTATTTGACTATAGTTACCCGTGAAACCGATTTCGCCAGGACGGGTAAATGACACATCTAGTCGGACAATGTTATTTTGTCATCTTTTAAAAAAATTAACTTCAAACATTCAAGCCAGTCCCGAATATACCTACACAGTAGTGTAAATGGACTGACGCCTATCAGAAAACAACTACTCCCCTGGCTAATACCACGAAGGGCGTTGGATTATATCCGACAGGCGTCAGTGTAAGAATCTCTACAGAAAATATCCTACATATGCAATTGGCAATACAACTGAAAGAGTCGACCCTCAATTGTGGAGATCGGTTTCGGGTTCATTAGCCACTCATCAGTGCAAGATAGTAGCCATCATCGACCTAAAGTCAATGATATTCCATAATTGAAAATCGGAATTCTTTCAGAGTATTTCATTCCTCTTCCTAAGTTGGAGCGAACAACAAAATGTCACCCCATCTAGTGGACGAGGTACTAACCAACTGCATATCCGAAATTTGCCCGATTCCTCTGAATAAAGAAGAAACACTTTCTTATTAGTCAGTGGGCTATGCTTGAAGATTGACAGTAAACAACGTTTAAAGTTCATTTCTTTAGATTTGTTTTCTGGCATTCTTCAAGAATAGCCCACTGACTAATATGAAAGGTTATCACCTTTTTCCAAAATTTTGAATCTGCTGATCCTCCGGTTTTTGAGATATGGTATAAAATCATCAAATAATCACCGATTTTGTTCAGTTCTGCATGGCAAAAGAACTTAAGTTACTTTACCAAACTTCATATTTCTAAACATTTAATCATGTTAAATTTAGAAATAAGAGTGAGTACATGATTTTGAGTCTGAAAAATTAATCAAACAAAACAGTCCCACATTATTCAAAAAGTTTGTTGACCGTGGTCTGAAGTTATTTATGTCTCACGTTTCGTCTACGATTGCCGTAGACATTATCAAAGACGAATACTACTGGAGTTTTTTCCCAACACCAAATCGTTATTTTTACACCTCAAGGTGTAAAAATAAACTCCAGTAATATTCATTACTACACCAAAGGTTCCAAACAGTATATCACAAGTACAAAATTATCAAAGACAATGAGGTACTGAACGAAGTACGGATATTCTGGTCGTCCTACTGCTGTGAGGAAAATCGTTTTGACATATAGTATTCTACTTATAAATAATGAACCAATTGTATAGAAAAAAATGTTTCATTCACCTGATTCATAAGTTTCAACAGAATATCGCTCTGTGAATCCAAGTATCGCTGACAATTTATATAACTGCATTGTTTAGTCTTGTTCAAAACGGTTTCTTTTTTCTTTCGGCACTGACTTCATAATATATATGAGTAGTTCTGAACTCAAAAACAATCTATCAATAATATCCATGAAGATTTGTGTGGTATAGCATAAAATGCTTATCCTAGGCGTTGTAGATTTTTCAGAGCCTCTGCATCTTTTTCAGAGCCTCTGCAGCTTTTTAGAGCATCTACAGCTTCTCAAGAAAATTTCTATGAGAATGAAATTGAATAGAATATTTATATAATTGTTTGTCAAATTTTTTCAAAAAATGTATCACTTTTTAAATTGCAGAGTAAAAATTTAATATATTCACAACCCGCGATTTTTGACGGCTATTCTGTTGAAATTGATCTGCTACATAACTAGAAGAATTATTCAAATGAAATAAAGTTATCGGAACTCATCTGAAAACTATCAAGAAATATAGAGGATTCTTCATATTCTTTCTATTACTTCAGCTAATATTTTGATATTTTTTTATAGAAATACATACATATAGGGTATTTCACAGTTCATAATTAAATGATGGTCTTTGAACGAGAACGGGTAACACTAATTCTATCAACAAATGAAAATGTTATGATAATAAATTCAATCTTCTAGGTACTGGAAACGATTTTTGGACAGTTAGATTACAAATTAAATCTGTTCACTTAGATGAAATCTTCATAGGAAAAGATGTCATGAAAGGATATGAAACTTAACAAATTAATTCCGTTCACATAGATGAAATCTTCATAGGAAAAGATGTCATGAAAGGATATGAAACTTTAGCTCTAATCAAGAAATGGGTGTGTTCATAACATGTTCATTTAAACCTGATTTTTTTTCGAAAAAACTAAACAAACTTCAAATTCCCTGTAAAATCGCAATAAAAATATTATTTTCAGTAAATTTATTGTTCAAGAGTTTGTGGGTTGATAATGAATTTAGTTTTATCCGAGAACCAACATCAACCACTTGATTTAATTATAAGCTGTCATTCAGTATCTCGTAAAAATTCAAAATGAGTAATTTCGAAAATTTTATGAGTTGGAGAGGAAAGAAAAACATTTCGTTTTCCGAAAACGTTCTTCTCGTTTATTTCGAAGATTCAGCAAAAACTTAGAACAAAAATGAACCCGAATAAAATAATTTGTAGGAAATATTGTTACCAATTTTCAAATCATTCATTTGAGTTCCGACTGATTGACAGAATGAATTTGAAATCTAAAGCCATAATCTCAAAAAAATATATTGTACTACGGTCAGTAGTAGAAAAAGTATAGTACGCAGCTTGAGGATAAGGTCAATTACGTCCACCAACGAATTATCGCACTCGGCTAACGCCTCGTGCTTACAATTTTTGGCTCGTGGGTAATCGATTTCTAATACTACTTGGTACGTGATAATATACTATTATCAGTATAACAGTGGTAATCCTTAGTTCTATATCGGAATCCATGTAAATAGTATACAAATGAACGTATTAGTTTAATAAATCTCTTCAACGGGAGTTTCATACCTTCCACTTGAAATTCAATCAACCTAATGATTCTAAAATTCATGAACTCAAGCTATTGCTTTCTTCAGTCATTATCGAACACCACAAAGCACTTATTTAAACACCGACAGAAATAACTCTTGGTCCGTATCTGCCCACCGATTTACCCAGCTAATAGTGCCCGAAATTCATTTGCCCTTCTTAGACTCACTACGTCTTTAATCTTGATTACCAATCTGTTTATAATATACCTAATGAAGTATTAGATGTTAATCACATGCCGATTAATATACGCTCCGAAGGCCTAAGAGTGCATTAGCATTCCCACAGTGGAGATAAATTAGGTCACTTTTTATTAATGGTTACGGAAAACATCCTGACTCCAAGTTGGAGTCAGAATTTTAATTTTTTTTTAATTTTTGGCAGATATTTCAATAACTGTAGGTTTTTTGTCGAATCATGTAATGGAGGTGTTAATTTCTGGAATATATCTCTTAGCTTTCTACTTTTCCGTCATTATGAAGAAAATGAAAAACTTCCGAAGAAATCAATCAAATTTCAATATTCAATATTCACGATAATCATTTCAAATTTTCATTTCTAATACGCTACTCTGACAGTAGTTTCCTTAGTTGGATTAATACTTCAGAGTATAAACATAGTGAAAATCAACCAGTAAGTCCACTCCCACTACTTTCATTCATACATTCATAAAGTTCTCGGTGACCTCGAAACGAATTGCGGAGCCAATTTCGTTCTTTCATAGGAGTTCGCTTATTTTGTGGTAGATTACTTATAACCAACTACAAAAACTAAAAACAATAATAACAACGGCGAATAAACTAAACATAATATCAAGTCTCTACCGTTTATTATAACTAATCCGATATCCGTGGTACCGTCAAATCCGTTGATATTACGGCACTGAACGCGTTGGATGAGAATCGGGCGGATCACGTGGTAAGAGAGCCTACTGGTTGTATTCTACTGTGGTAACAGTTCAACCAGTACCAGGTTAATGCTTTGCTGATCATGGCATATTTCTCTCGTCATTACATGACCACACATCAAAACTGCCAATGAACTAGCAAGTTTTGTCAATGACTAATAGTCTAGGAATATTAGTCAAATCTTGGAATGAGAGATAGCTAAAAAATCGAATAAATATTCATTTTAGCACCCTGAAACTTGTCTCGAAACCTACTTATCGTAAGGTATTCGCGACCTCAGATATTCCAAAGTCAAAGGTCGAAAAATCGATTTTTTTACATATTTATTACAAATATCTCGATTCATATGGATTTTACATTATTTGCATTCATTATAAATGTTGTACAGGATTCTCTTCAACATCTGTTTGAACATTTTTCTATATCTTGAACCATTTTCGAGATACAGGGCGGAGCGCTCGCGATATAATCGTTATTTGAGAATGAANTTTGTATGTATTTTTCACAAGCTTTGTCCACAAGATATATTCTCAATGACAATAAAGTATATTATTATTATTATTATTAATACTCTGAATAGTTAAAACACTGCTAGCACCCTACCCTCTATCTCCAAAATTGTTCAAGATGAAAAAAAATAAAACAAAATTTGTAGAGAATGTCATCCTCTATTATAGCATAAAACCCATAGGAAACGAGATATTTGCAATAAATGTGTGAAAAATCGATTTTTTGATCTCTGACCTTGGAGTATTTGTAGTCGCGGACACCCTACGATAAATGGGTTTTGAGACAAGTTTAAGGGTTTCAAAAGTTTATACCTAACTATCTTTCACTCTGAGGTGAATCCCCTAAAATTCCTGGTGTATATTGTATATTGTGAAATGGTACCGTTCAAAACATCACAATATGCTGAGTTTGCAACTCACAATGACTATGAGTCAAGATTCAAATTTGTAATCCTCAAATTGAGGGATATATATGTACACCTAGACTTATGTTGTTATTGAGTGAGACACATTGTATGAAAGTACACTCAAGTTTACAATTTCATACAAAAACTCAGTTGATGACTGAAATACCCAACGATATTGTAAATAATCGACGCGAGATGTATATGAGGTCAATTAATTCTCGTTGTATATTTGCTGTGTGCCAATTTACGAAAAGAGGTGAATGTCTCCATCAATCTAATGATGTTTTCTTTTTGTTACAGGTCGCCATTAATTTTAGCCATTATATTTATTACCTTCTTCCACAATGTATTGAGCAGACATGTGAGTATACCAGATTAGATTTTCTTTATTCACCTTTTCTAATCTTGAATCATGAATCACTTCAATATACGAAACATTCACCTTCTCGAAGCGATATAATTTGAGTGCTTTTAAGTTGGTACTGGGTTAACGACCTGTTTTTTCCAATCCCCATCTTGACTTGGTAGTTTTCCAAAAGATTCCGAATGCTTTCTCGACAATTTACTAGTTTTTAGTATAAGTAATCAGTATTACATCAAGAATTAAATACAATTTCAGTTTCAGACTTCGCTGTACCTGAAACAAATTTATTTTCTCAATAGAAAAATATCACGAAAACATTGATTATTTGTAAAAAAAAAGATTTTGGATTTCTACCTATCCACCTCTATGCAAAAATATGTCTTCCAAACGAAGGAAGAAAGCATTCAATTTGAAAATAAACTCTATATTTACAAATATGTGAAGATCATGCGGAGAAGCAACTTTCAGATACAAACTGGAAGAAAAAGCCTTCTCGAAACAACTATTTTCATATAAACATTGAATTACACGGAAGAAAAATACTTTTGAAACAACTACTCCTATATGAACACTGAATTATACAAAAAACACTTTTTCCTATTACATTTGTACTCCAATCATTCGATATGGAATTGAATCAGATACCATTCACCGGATTCCTACACAATATAGTATATGAAAGAGTTGAAATTGAAGTTTAGTTTTTGTGAAGAATCATAGTGAAATAGCAGTTACTAGGAAATATCTATAAGTGTGGAAAGGTCAAAGTTTCGTGAACTGATTGAAACGGCTTCCTCTCCAAGTAGAAATACAATTATTATCAATCAATGTTCCGTAGTATCTACAAACGGTTCTTGAAATGATGAAAAAATAATATGAATTCTACTTCTGCAGTCATGGTCGTAGAATATTTACTTTTGCACATTTGCCTGCGAAAAGAAGGAATAGTACATTTCATAAGTTTCAACAACGATAGTGTAAAGGAAATCATTTCCAGCAGAACTACCGGACTTTTTTTTTGTTAATGGTTTATACCAGAGCAAGCAACTACAATGCGATGTGTGAGTAAGTACAATTGTGGAGTCCAGAAAATGAAAACAGAATTTAGATACTGGTTTCTTTCTTCAGAAGAATCCGAACATAAGCATACAGTTGGTTGCATGTAACTAGACAAAAGACGAAAAGAAAACAATAATAAGAAGAGGTATTTCTAAATTGGGGGGAAGTGGAATCGAGGAAATCCGAATTGAATCAACAAGTTGAAAGAATCCGGTAGAGATTGTAACCAATTGATATTCAGGTATACATATATCATTCTATCAATTTGCCCACATCGAAGGTTCCAAGGAAATATTGTAGTAAAAACTGACATTTAAGATTAGAACGAGAAAACTATATCCTATAGAGAAACAATAAGCACTGTTTATTCGAACTGAGCACTATTAAATGATACCAATGAAAATAACAGAAATAAGAACTCACGGTGATATTTTTTATATTGACAACATGTTTCTGAATTTCATCACCTAGTTATTGCTGAAGTTGATGATGTTCATGTCAAAATTATTCTAAAATAGTGACTGTCGGCTTTGGTTTCATTATCAGAGGTTTTCATTCCTGTCCTGTTTGTCCTGTTGAAGTTATTAACAAAGGCAATGATGTTCCGGTTCTAGGCCATGTTGCCTCACTGGAAAATATGCAGTCTTTGGTCTAGTTATTCCAAGCATCAAGAGTGAGTCTTACAAACGTTTTCAGAATTCTTCATCGACATAACATCTCACAAAATGGATGATGAATGGTATGAATGGTTGAAGTGATTCAAATCCCAATATGGCAAGCCGAATTCATACCCAATATTTCCATTTTTTTCCAAAATAAGGTAGTTTTTAACAAGTTTGCTGTTTTCCTTATTTCGCAGTACAGTTTCTCGATACTAACTTTTTGAGACGATAGATTGGAAGAAAAGGTTCTACATTTACCACCTAGATCCACCGAATTCACTCCACTGGAATTTTTTCTATGGAACTGGTGGAAATCAAAGGTCAACAAGACGCAGCCAACTTCTGCAGATTTACGAAAAGAAATGACATCTAACATTCAGCGTTGAATATTTAACGTTTAAAATTTAACATTCAACATTTAACTTTCAACATTTAACTTTTAACTTTCAACGTTTAACTTTTAACGTTCAACATTTAACCTTCAACATTTTAAAATGAAACATTTATCATTTATTCAAATTTAAAATGACATGAGATGTGAATTGATATGTGAAAGGGGATTTTAACGTAAAAATGTCTCCACCTGAAAACTGAAGTTGACATATTTCACTAATTTCACACTATCTCAATATCAAATGAATTGTTCTGGTTGACTAGTTTCAACTGGAATGCTCTGTATATCTTTGTTATGTGGTTGAGGTGTGTTTTCCTAAGATGAGTTGAATGAAGAAATATAACTAGCTGCTCTTTTTATGAACCCAGAACCGTATCACTCCATTTGAATACACACTTGTTCGATTACCTCAAATAATATCCACTATAATTCTCAGCAAATGTCTTCCGTTAATAAACCAGTCAGTAAATTGTATCACCTGACAGAGTAAGTGCATCATTTGCTGCACATGAACTTCTTCACTTCGAACAGCTTTACGATACCAGTTCCAGTAAAATAGTTATTGTATCTGACGAAATAACTCTCAATGATACTTACTTATAAATCATTTTGGATTTATGATGCACCTCACAACGGAGAGTGTACAATTATCTTAATCGATTACTTTTTACCGTAGAATCTCTTTCGATTTATATACGACCTCACAGAAGGCATGCTGGTACACGTGTGTGGAATTTTATCGTAATTGATTTAATTGCATCAGTTTATAAAATTCAACATTTCACGGAGGTTTCAGTGCCAATTAATTTTGATAAAATTATATTTTCGATTGTGAGGTCCAATTCTGTTTCTCATCAAGTGAAATTTTTCCTGTTCCATCTAATACATTATTGTGTTATACAATAGCGATATTTTTTGAAAAACTTCAGTCATATAAATCAAAGAAATAACAGCTCCTCTGAACATGTATACAGTCCTGTGAAGTTTAGCATAATAAAAATTGTAGATATACAAATTCATTGAGTGTACCCACATAGCAATAGATATTCCAGGAATATTTCATGAATATGCATTTGAGGATATTGTATTATGCTATGAATATGCCATGGATATATGTATCTTCTGGAGAATAATCCCTGGAAATGCTCCTGGAGAACCTTTGATACATTCTAAGGATATTCCTGGGGAATATTCTTGGAATATCTTGAAATATTTTCTGAATATGTAAGGTATATTCTATTAAGAATATTCCAGGAATACAACCCTAGGAATATTCATAAAATATTCTGGATATTCTAAGTTTATTGTAGGAATATAAAANAACTCAGTGTCTATCAACAACATAGTTTGCGTTAAGCAAGACACACTACGTCCCCAGACGAAGGGACTATTGCATAACATCCCTTACGCAATAAGAGGAGACTGGTCTACTGCGCCGAAGAGAAGCAAAGACCAAATTCAACTAACCCTCAAAATGGAAGTATGCGGGGTGACAACGAATTAATTAATCACGGCGCAAATCAGTTGTTTCTGTGGTAATTTGATATGTAGAATGAAGGTATAGGTTATTGGAGCCGACATTTTTAATGAAAAGCTAATCGAAAACATATTTCGGTTCAACTGGAAATTAACTCATGTCAAAAATTTCACATAGAACCCTGTATATTTTTTAGAACATTCGATAGAATATACAGTTATTTCTTTCAAGATATTGACACAAGTGATCATCTTCGGAAATATAGTCAAACAACTTGATGAATTGAGAAACGAAAAACATTTGCTCAGTTCAGAAAAAAAAAATGAGAATTGAAAGTGCCATCATTTCATTTTATTGAAAGTCTTGATAGAAAGTGGTATTTTTAAAACCGTTGTATCGATGTGTACCTCCTGTACTACAAAAAAATCTCTAAGATACTAAGCGATTCATTTTTCTGTTTGTAACAGGTTAATGTTGGGAGCTTGAAACTTCCACTTTTTCACCGGCACAGAAAAATATGAACTGTTGTACTAGAAGAGATACACTTTATTGTTGGAACTTGCAGAAAAACCACTATCTATGAAGATTTTTGAGTCAAATGGAGCTAAAAATTCCATTAAAAAGTTAATGAAAAGTACGTGAATTGGTAAAAAATTTCTATTCTTGAATTTTCAGTCAACAACTAAGCAAACATCTTTTTTATATATGACGTCATAGTGAGTTTGAGGAAAATGGCTCCTATGGAACTTATTTAATATTGTTAAAAAGATACAAGGTCCGTCTTCGGGTTACGAAAACCGGTTTTATTACAAAAATTATTCTACATTCGAATGCTCTCCTTTAATATACTCCCCTCCCCTCGCCACACACCTTTCCATACGTTTTTTCCATTGATTGAAGCAGTGCTAGGAGTCTTCTTTGGTGAGGGCCTTTAGGATCTCTGCCGTTTCTCATCGACTCAAAACGGCTCCCTTTTAGAGCAGATTTTATCTTCGGAAACGAAAAAAGTCGCACGGTACCAAATCTGGCGAGTACGGAGCGTGTTCGAGCACTGGAGTATGTTTATCGGCCAAATACTGCTTCACAGATAGCGCGTTATGGGCAAGTGCGTTGTGCTGGTGCAAAATCCAACGAGTTGTTCATCCACAACTCAGGCCGTTTCTTACGAACTCGTTCTCGCAGTGTTACCTAAACTGACAAATAGTAGGTCTGGTTGAGAGTCTGACCCTCTGGAACCCCTTCAATACATCATGATACCATTAATGTCGAAAAAAACGATAAACCTTGCCTTGAATTTTGATTTGAACATGCTTGCTCTCTCGGCCCTTACTGAAGCGCTTACACCACTCAAAAACACGCGCACGAGTTAGAGAGTTGTCCGCATAGGCCTTTTGCAACAATTATTAGCACTCAGGCGGATTTTTTTGTATTTAATGAAATATTTGAGATTGATACGTTGCTCCTGTTTTGCGTCACACATGCTTTTCGACACGAGAAAAAACACGTTCGTTTCAAACCGCTACTGCATAAATACTTAAATAGTGACGAAAACGTGTTTTGGTACGTGAATAGAGAAGATATCCAGATATCCAACGCACTTCTCGTTTTTCCCCACCCTTCTAGGGCGCACTCAAAGCGCGCAGTCTCGTTATTTAATAGCCGGATCTCGTAATTTTGTATTCTGAGGAATGGTCTAGCAAATATTTATAGTGTATGATGGAATCGGCCTATACTTGATGAAAATCCATAACTGACGTATTCAAAAAACACTTCATTGTGAAATTTTCAATAAACATCAATTTTACAAAAATGCAACACGTGTTTCACCATATAATGGCGTGACTTTACTCTCAGTAAAGTCAATTTGTAAAATTGTTCAGTGAAAACCTCATAGTAAAGTGTTTTTTTGAATAAATATTTACAAGGTTCTATTCGACATTCTTGACTTGAGTTCATTTTCCTTTGAAACAGAATATGTTTTCAATTATTTTCTCACTAGAAAGAACGGTGTTTGTTCCAAATTTCAAGTTCTTTATCCCAGAAACAACTGTATGGCGTCGTGAACAATCACTTTATTGTCACCCGGTATATTGTAAATTCATTACTGTTGTAATGTGTGTCAACTGTAAATAAATATCTGTCTATATATCTGTAACAATAATTGTGAACTGTAATGTTGGAAAATTAATCATCGATTAGTCAACGGTGGTTCCTCCAGAATAGGAGTGTTTCAACTAGGCGTAAAGCAATGATTCGTTTCTTCACTCAGTTCAATTGAAAACTATTCAACAGTAATTGAATGATTGTCTTCGATGCCTGACATCCATTTCAATTCAAAGAGGATTCTTAAATGGGCACACGTATTTATGTCTCGGTGAACGTCAATATGTTACACCAACAATTATCGAAGTCACCAGACCNCATAGTAAAAATCAACCAGTAAGTCCACTCCCACTACTTTCATTCATACATTCATAAAGTTCTCGGTGATCTCGAAACGAATTGCGGAGCCAATTTCGTTCTTTTACCATAGGACTGCGCTCATTTTGTGGTAGATTACTTATAACCAACTACAAAAACTAAAAACAATAATAACAACAGCGAATAAACTAAACCCAATATCAAGTCTCTACCGTTTATTATAACTAATCCGATATCCGTGGGACCGTCAAATCCGTTGATATTACAGCACTGAACGCGTTGGATGAGAATCGGGCGGATCACGTGGTAAGGGAGCCTACTGGTTGTATTCTACTGTGGTAACAGTCCAACCAGTACCAGGTTAATGCTTTGCTGATCATGGCATATTTCTCTCGTCATTAGATGACCACACATCAAAACTGCCAATGAACAAGCAAGTTTTGTCAATGACTAATAGTCTAGGAATATTAGTCAAATCTTGGAATGAGAGATAGCTAAAAAATCGAATAAATATTCATTTTAGCACCCTGAAACTTGTCTCGAAACCTACTTATCGTAAGGTATTCGCGACCTCAGATATTCCAAAGTCAAAGGTCGAAAAATCGATTTTTTTACATATTTATTACAAATATCTCGATTCATATGGATTTTACATTATTTGCATTCATTATAAATGTTGTACAGGATTCTCTTCAACATCTGTTTGAACATTTTTCTATATCTTGAACCATTTTCGAGATACAGGGCGGAGCGCTCGCGATATAATCGTTATTTGAGAATGAAGTGCTAAACTTGTTGACAATCTATAATGCTCCAAAATCCGAGGACTGTATCGATCGTCTTGGCATGCATTAAGTTAACAAAATTGAATAAAATTGGGCAGTTATCAAATCTCCAACAAGTGCAGCAGCTCACCAACATTTCAATCATGTTCATCATCAAGTTCAGACTTGGTTAGAACATGATTTAGAACCAATGAATCCACCAGCTCCGGAAGAATTTCTCAACACATTATTCTGCAAAACTAAACAAACTTCAAATTCCCTGTAAAATCGCAATAAAAATATTATTTTCAGTAAATTTATTGTTCAACAGTTTTTGGGTTGATAATGAATTTAGTTTTATCCGAGAACCAACATCAACCACTTGATTTAATTATAAGCTGTCATTCAGTATCTCGTAAAAATTCAAAATAATAGTGTATGATGGAATCGGCCTATACTTGATGAAAATCCATAACTGACGTATTCAAAAAACACTTCATTGTGAAATTTTCAATAAACATCAATTTTACAAAAATGCAACACGTGTTTCGCCATATAATGGCGTGACTTTACTCTCAGTAAAGTCAATTTGTAAAATTGTTCAGTGAAAATCTCATAGTAAAGTGTTTTTTTGAATAAATATTTACAAGGTTCTATTCGACATTCTTGACTTGAGTTCATTTTCCTTTGAAACAGAATATGTTTTCAATTGTTTTCTCACTAGAAATAACGGTGTTTGTTCCAAATTTCAAGTTCTTTATCCCAGAAACAACTGGTATGGCGTCGTGAACAATCACTTTATTGTCACCCGGTATATTGTAAATTCATTACTGTTGTAATGTATGTCAACTGTAAATAAATATCTGTCTATATATCTGTAACAATAATTGTGAACTGTAATGTTGGAAAATTAATCATCGATTAGTCAACGGTGGTTCCTCCAGAATAGGAGTGTTTCAACTAGGCGTAAAGCAATGATTCGTTTCTTCACTCAGTTCAATTGAAAACTATTCAACAGTAATTGAATGATTGTCTTCGATGCCTGACATCCATTTCAATTCAAAGAGGATTCTTAAATGGGCACACGTATTTATGTCTCGGTGAACGTCAATATGTTACACCAACAATTATCGAAGTCACCAGACCGTCAACTCTACTAACGAGTGGAAACAATCAGCGACAATCCAGACATTCAGCAGACTGTTTGAGAGGCAGACTTTGCCTAGACAGAATTCCTTATAAGTAACTAACCATGACCAGATCCGAGTCAGATCAATTAGGTGCATGTTGAGGAAATTGCCACATCCTGACCTTCTCATGATTATTTTTACAACTGTCGGGTAACATAGAAATCATTCATTTGATACCCATGACAGCGACTCCCACGCAATAACTTTAGGCGATAATATTTTTGACACGAGAAAAGGTAGAATAGATGCAAAAGCTGGAGATATATTTATAATTATCTAGTTTTCAACTACAGATGTCTGGGCGTTGATGCAATGTGGAAATACGCGAGGGAGTACCTCAACGTGGGGAGTACCTCAAGGGTCTCATTGTGCACCTCTTCTTTTCAACTTATTTGTTAATAATAACAGAATGTTTTGAAAATTCAAACTTTCTGATGTCAGCAGATGATTTTGAACTTTTTATATGATTTTTAATAATAATAATAAATATGCTTTATTGTCCAAAGAAAAGCTCTTATTGACAAAGCTATGGTGAACATTTTGAGAAAGAAAAAACATAGGCAAGTACATGAAATCAGAATATAAGCTAGTAGATTGTTATATCTAGAGTCCTACCATAAATATAAAAATAAAAAAGCTAATAAATTTGCCTTACACCAATCTGAAAGTTTGGAAATATCAGAGCAAATGGCATTATATAGATCATTCGTGTTGGTATTGCGCCATAATATTGTAGTGTCTTCGGCGAAAAAAGTAAATTCACCCTTTATTTCAATGGTAGTCAAGTCATTGATATAGAGTAGAAATAGAGTAGGTCCCAGTACTGATCCTTGTGGCACTCCGTTAGATATGTCAGAAACCTCAGATACCATTTATGAGTAATACCCTTAATACCATAGAGATAAAGTTTCCTGAGCAGAATTTCGTCATTAACACAGTCAAATGCTTTAGAGAAATCGCAAAAGACTGCTGCTGTAATCTCCCGTCTATTAGTTGACCCTAACCTTCAAAAGACATGTGCACAAATTTCACAGCTGTCGGATTATTAACTTGTGGGATAGAACATTTTAAGTGAGCAACTTTTATTAATTTGAAGAAAATGGATATTGGAATTGAGAAACTTTGAGTTGAGTTTTGTCCGATGAAGCTGATTCTTGATTCAAGACTTGCTTCCCTTGGTATTCATAATGGTAACTCGTAATTTATTGTTTAGCGTATACGACACTTCAAAGACAGATTCAAGAGACAACAAGGAGCACATTTATACCTGCCAGGTTCATTTGTAACAGATGATGATACTCCAGAATCAGGGGCTTGGGAAGACTGGTCCGAACCTAGTCCTTGCTCCAGGACATGCGGAGGAGGGGTGGCTACGCAGTTCCGAAACTGTAAACCGGGATATGAGTGCAGAGGACCTTCAAAGAAGTACTTCTCTTGTAATACTCAGGTGAGCACTTTTATGCTGTGTTAATTAAGGTAATTATTTTATTTTTGACCATTTGCAAACAAAGGTGCAGATTAGTATCTTCAGAGATATAACAAGTTGATAGTTAGTTGACTTCAATTTAACTGGTGATTGAATTTGTACAGATCAGTACGTGAGATAATAATTTTGATAATTAGGTTTATCCATATCTTGATTATTCTGGGAAAAGTAATTATCTTTACTGGTTTGCATTAAAAATATTATTTACAATCCAGAATTACTTATACAAGTTGCAACAATCATATACACAAACAAGAAAAGTACTTGATGAAAATAACTGCGTATAAACTTGCGTTTACACAGTATTTTGTATCAAGTACTTTTCTTGGTTATTAACATTTTGTCTTCAATTGAAAACCACCTGCCCGGTACTGACGATGCCCAATAGGCTGAAACAGCTGTCAACCGGTGGCTTCTTGATTGAAATCAATATGGGAATGATCAGAATAGTACTATTCATCTTTTGATTTTCTTGGAATTATTTTCCAGCAGCTTGACTGCAACAACCTTTCTCGATTTCAATCAGAAGGCTTAATAATTGTATGAATAAGAAAACTGACATTGACAATCTCAGCAGTATATACAGTAACTTAGTGTAACTACACCAAAAAACATAATGATAATAATAAAAATTATATCAATCAATAACTCTTTCTTTAGAGTCAAAAATTATAAAATCATCATACCCATCAAGAAATGACATTTATGTGAAGGTATGACATTTGTCAAACCCACAAAAACTCCTATACATGTTTAACTTCTTCGTCAAATGTATTCAAAGAGACAATAATCTCTCATTACGTAAAAATATTTTGGTTTTTGATTTTTTGACTGAGACCCCGGTAATTCATTTTACTGTACATTTCTCCGGTTGCTGGGATTCTCAACTTTATATACATGCTGAAATGATTTCCGATTTTTTATCCGTGTTCTGTGTCTTTACCCTCAATGGGATTGATCTCATGACGTTTCGACAAAGTCTCATTTGTCATCTACTGGTGATATCTGTTAAGTTAAGTTAAGTCAACTGACCTTACTCGATGCGCTCCCGACTATACAGGTGAAGAGATGTTTGTTAAGTGTTCGGAAGTAGACTGTCCTAACTTGTGCTTTCATCGAATGTTCAATTTTGTTTATTTTGTAATTCATCGATGAATAAGGCCGATAATTATTATTATTATTACGGTTTATCCTAGAATAAAATGTTAGATACTTTGAATTTAATCACTTTTGAAGATTCAAGTGTGATGTATTAACTTTTAATGAAACGTTTCTGAAATAAAAAATATTGAATAAATAAACAAACTGTATGAACTGTTAAATTATACATTGATTTATTACTTCATCACTTTTGCTTTTATCTCAGGAAAAACATAGGCGAGTTGAATTATTATAAACAGACAGTTTGGTCTGTTTAATTTTCACGTAGTTGTGTATACACTTAAGTTAATGACCTGAAAATGTTCAAAATGTATGCATTTCAAAACTTTTTCTGTTGAGAATTTTATAATGATAAGAAATAATATTTCAAAATAACTTTCAAGTGAAGGAGTGGATACTTCTTTCAAAAATATAGAATTGTGAGAGTATATATCGATTAATCCAGAAATATGGTAAAAAAAATTGATCTTTTGAAAGCCTCCGTTTTTAACAAAGGAAGGTTTGAAGGTTTTTCTTCTGCCTGTTTCCTCAAGACTGGTTGAATGAAAACTCAGAGCAATTGTTCCCTATTTTCTCAAATATTTCATTATTAGTATTCAGGCGATTATCAAAATACGCATGCAAAACATTATCATTGGCGATTGAAAATTTCATAAATTGTTTAGAATCTATATCTCTTGAAATCTGAAACATTTTAAGAAGATGAAATTATTTTAAAAAGGCATAAATCACGTAAATCACCCTAAAATTTTTGCGGTTAGGTTCAAGACAGCATTTTTTCATTGTTGCTGTTTGCGGTATTGTGTTATGGAGATATGATAAAGTTTGAGAGCTTATTTTATTGTCATAACAACAAATACTACTTATATTAGGTACCACAAATATCTCAAAAATGCCTTTTCAGTACAATTGAATTCAGAACATCAATTGTGAGTTCTATTTTGATGGCAATTTTTAATATTATCAATGAAACTGGTTTAATTTGGTAGAATCAAACTATAACCTATAACGGATTTTTTTATGGACATCAAATAGGGTTACTGTTCTATCCGCACATTGAAATTTTATTTTTGTTTGTCAGGATTGCCCGGAACAGGCCGACTTCCGAGCCCAACAATGTGCAGAGTATAACGACATTCCATTTGAAGGAATGCATTACGAGTAAGTATAGTAAATATTATACCGTCAGGTTATTTCCAGCATTCAAACCTTTTGCAAAGTTTTCGACAAAGAAAAAGAGAAAACAAATATAGTTCGTACAAAATAAAATCCGATGCACGTTATGAAGGGGTATGGTTGAATTTGAAAGAACCCTCTAGTCAGATTGTCATAAAATTATTGAATATGTGAAAATAGTATAATTCGGGTATTAATGGATCATTATACGTCATTGACAAAAACAAATCTCGCTCAATGATAACATTTAGGTGAAAAATATCATACGATACAGACGAAACGATCTATTATTTTATCAATGAGTACTTACACCCAGCAAAATAACTGCATAACAAGTGATCAAAGCAAAAATAAATATATCTCATTTGAATCATAGATTCCAAATCCTACCTGAAATATCTAGGTTTAGTCTGGTCTGAATAATAGTTGCTGGGATCACTATCGTCAGCCTTTCAATAATAAACACAGGTGACCGCTCTCTATCATACCATTTCAATATTACCCAGCATATTGGATGGATTTTCACCAGTCTTACTCCATATATACAAACGTTCTTGATTTGTGTTATTACATCATTATGATAGATAATCGGCTTCTCATTTCGTTCTGATTCATTTCCAAAAAATAATAATGTGATCAATATTGTGCAACATGTTCCGAAAGTTCACGTATTAGCATCGAAGTGGAAAATTCCATATCACCTCCAGTTAACCGGTTACGAATATCAGCTTTCTTCCAGGGCGTATTTGGTCAATAATATGATATGATTTAAAGCATTTTCAATGATAATTACGGATGGTTCAGTCAAATTATGTAATTACTTAATTTCGAATCAATTAAATCAATAAATTTCCTACATTAATTTCTCCATGTTAGTTACTATTATTGATAAATGCATTTGCATTGCCAGCATGAAGTACCTATTATCAATTATCACAATTATTACTATTCATCAAAATTGAATAGTTTCAGCCAAAACTTTTACTATTCTGGTCAAAATTGTGTTACTTGCCTTCTATCATAGACTTGAGTCGTTTTCCCAATTTTATTATTATCATCTTTTCCTCAACAACATATGCTACACTTCAAAACATATCCTAGTTTCATCTAGAAACACACAATTGTCCTATTCTTTGATATAAGAGCTCAAGAACTCAACTAGTTTCAGAGCAATATACAAAAGTGTCATCAGTCCTTATCCGTTAATATCAACATCATACTCCTACTATTAACTAAAAATACATATAGATATGTTCATATCTTTTTATGTTTTGCATGATTATTGCCTTTGAACATGATGTAAATAGTGCTTCGAATAACATCTGTCTCCATATGTTTACGGGTTCTAGACGATTTGAGAGCTTCAAGTTTATGAGAATTAGTGTAAGGTTTTTTGGGAAAGCAATTTTTTGGCTTTCTACTACTCTACTACTAGAAAGCCAAAAACTTTCTTACCCAAAAAATTAGTCACTCCTGAAAATATAACCCTTCCAATTTAAATAGTGTAAGGTTTCTAGTACAAACTAAAAAGCAATACAATAGACTATGGGTCATGATTGCTCAATGGAATATTCAATTTTCTTTTCTAACAGTGGTAATGGAAAGTCTGGAATATGAATATCTCATTTTCTTTCGAAATAGGTAATCAAACATGCCACTAACTTTTTTTGATTACCCATTTGATCGTCTTTTAGGCAGAAGGTTGCCACTTCTTTCAAGAATATTGTTTCAAACATCGTGTTTTAGTCGCACAATAACACAAAAAAAACACACGAAGGTAAACACACAAACCTTTTGATTTTCACTTGCCAGCACCTTAGCAGAGAATAACAACCGCTAAATTGAAAATTCAGTGTAAGTGTTCTCATGTATCTGTGAACTGGCACCACTGCAATCATTTCATGGCATCATCAATTACGTAGAAATGATTTTATTTCGTATGAACTATACTTTTACAACTTCCACAATAATCACCTTGATATCTGCTCAGTTTTTAACGATAATATTTTTTTTAAGATGGGTGCCTTACACGAAAGCTCCAAACCAATGCGAGTTGAATTGTATGCCAAGAGGTGAAAGGTTTTATTATAGGCATGCCTCAGCAGTATACGATGGTACAAGATGTAACGATGAAAAGTTTGATGTGTGTGTTAGTGGAAAATGTCATGTAAGTATTTACTGAAGACTACTTTGCAAAAACAAACAACGAAAGTAAAAGAATGTCGAAACATAAACGAACTTTCACAATGATTATGAAGTTGAACTTCTCCTATATTATTCATATTCTAGACTTGTATACAAGAACCCTATTGAAAAGATAAAAAGGTATCGTTTTCAGTACTTTTTGTCGATCAGAGATGCTGGATATTCCTAAGGTCTTTGACCGTGTGTGCTGGCCAAACTTCGATGCTATGGCTTTACGGGCAACTTTTGAGTATGGCTCTTCAGCTTCCTGAAAGATCGTTCTCTGCAAGTGGCCGTCGATGGATATCTCTCGAACACTTTCACCATCAACGCTGGTGTTCCCCAAGGATATGTATTGTCTCCAACCCTCTTTCTATAGTACATCAATGACTTATTGGAAAAAACAAGAATCCAATATATTGCTTTGCTGACGACAACACTTGTTCCGTCAGTCCAGTTGGATTCCAGGACATCGGCGGTGAATGCACATCTTCACCGGCAGCAGGAGGTTGCATATATTAATGAGAATCTAAAAGTAAATTAGAACTGGAGTGAAAGTAACCAAGTTCAAATCATTGCCACAAAAACCCAGGCATCGGTTTTCTGCAAAAAGATAACTGTCTCCGAACCGGATGTAATTATGTCAGGTCAGACAGTTCCACTTTATGCTTCGTTTGTTGGGGGTTAAAATTGACACTAATATGCCTTGGCACAATCATGTCGCTGGAATTGCAAAAGCCGCTTCTCAAAATCTTGGAACACTGTTCCGAACCAGAAAACTGTACACAACTCAGCAACTTTTGATGCTGTATAAAGCTCAGATCAGATCTCCTTTGGAGTATTGTTCCCAAGTATGGCGGTGTGCCCCCAAACATACTTTGAAGTTGCTGAATGCCATCCAAAAAAGAGCCACCCGCCTGATTGGAGACGCGAACATCACTGGAAATCTTTATAGCCTGGAACATTGAAGAATGGTTGGAGATTTGTCTCTCTTCTATAGATACTTTCACGGGAAATGTGCAAGTGACTTGGCACATTTAATTCCACCAAGATCGGTAGATATCGGAAATAATCGACGGACTGTGGCTGTTCATCGTTTTGAGGTTCAACTCAGTACACCACAAACTTCACTGTTTAAGAACTCTTTCATTTGGAGAACCGCGTTTATGTGGAATAAACTTCCTGAGAACGTTATTCCAAATGAATTTAATCTCCAGCGATTCAAATACAATGTGAATGACTACTGTCACACACAAAACACAAGCACTACAGAAAAATCCTCAAGGCGCTCACACTTCTTTATTTTTGGAAATCAGATCAGTCATTCCACAATAATTAACAGTTTCATATTCTATGTTTTTTACTATTTTTACCACTTATACATTAATGTATGAGTTTGAAAATGTCTTTATAGGACGCAACTGCAGTAACGTTAGTTACAAATGAAAGTGGTAAAAAACGTAGACTATATCAATCAATTTATAGTTTCATATTCGTTTTGAGAATCGGAAAACAAAACGATCAATTTCATAATTAAAAAAAAATGTACCTATTCAAAATGTTTACCACTAACTTCTTGACAATAATTATGTCTATTAACGAGTTTATTTAACACTTGTTCGATTGACGACCTATTTATATTGACTAAATTATTTCCTATTTAATGTAATCTTCCTGGGGTAATTTCATTACAAGCACCATTTTTTCTACCTACTGATTCTGAAATGAAGTGCGATTGTATATCGTATACTTCAGATGTCACATATCTCCTCAAAAACATCTAGAGGGGTCATATCAGGTGATCTAACTGGCTCCTCTGAGAGACTACGTTTGCCTGTCTGGAGGTTGGACAATTGACAAACCCAAATGAGTTTTCAACTAATGTTACATTTCAGCAAGATGAGATACCAGGTTCGAAAACCAGGTCCATAAGAATAATCCGCTATATCACATTATATGAAGATTGTAAAGATTCGTAGAATCTAAAGTATGTTTTGAGCAACCAGAGCTCACGTTAAGAATGAGAGGTACTCCTAACGAAATTACCCCAGAAACAGTTCTCAATGTGAGAAATGAATTTGTAAATAAACTTTATTATTGTCAGAAAGTGAATGGTAAACATTCTGAACATTTATTGGAATGAACTGCAGTGTTTACAGGTCCGAAAAACGAATCTTAAACTGCTAATTACTCAGAAACGGCTGATGTGATTTCCGAAAATAAATAAGTGTTGGATAGAGAATTGAAATACATATCGAAATAGACGTCACAAGAACCGCTTTTCTATTTAAGGAAGTTGCTGGCGCCCTCTCGGTGACGAGTGACGCAACACTTTTGTCTTTCTTAACAAATTGTATCGAAAATGATTCCTTTTTATGTAAATTTCGTTTGACTTCGATATCTTTTCGCGTCTGAAGTTAGGAGTGGAATGGAATTATTTACGTTAGCACTGTATAGTTGTTATTTTGAGGGAACTATTAATTGGAATCTGATACTTATTTCCAACGAAACATACAATTTATCAAGATATACAAACAAGTTTTAACCGAAAGAGCCGACAAGAAACCAAAATGAATGTACAGAATATTTGACATTCTTTTTTTACTACAGCAATTCTTATTTTACTATACCATAATTTCAAAATATTAGGTTCTAAATTCTCACAAATGACTGACGTTTTTGCCTTAATCTGTCTCTTGCAGTGGCGTACGGAAATTATACTAAGTAGATGAGGAAAAATATATAGACAATAATCTGGCAACAATGTTTTCGTTTCAATTCAATAATATTTCTGAGACCGAACTAGTTTGAAAGGAAAGCGTTTGATGCAAAAATCATCGAATGTCTCGCATACATTATCGCAATATTTAATTTTATCTCTTTTTATTAAAATGTTACTCACTTTATCATTGAATTGCGTTAGTAAAAACAAATTTTACCATGTGGTTGTATGAGGTTTGTTAAAAAAAATAAGGTGAATTTTCATTTTTCCCAAAAAATATTCATTTATTCATCAATTCCTATTTCGTCCCCTTCAAAGTAGCACTCCTCAGATATAATACACTTGTACCAGCTTTTTTTCCAATCCTTGAATTATAGGTATTTTCAATCTTGGAAACAAAAAAAAGTCGCATAGGGCTAAGTCTGGTGAATACGGTGGCTGTGGCATGATGACTGTATTGTTTTTTGCCAAAAATTTACGAACATTATCCTGATGCAAAAGACATGAATTGTTTTTCCACAATGCCGAGCGTTTTCTTCGTTTTGCTTCTCGCCAGCGGCGCATAACATCAAGATATTACTTCTTGTTGACCGTTCGACCGTTCTCCTGATGCACTATGTCACAGTAATCGAAGTACTGAATAGATGAGGAAAAATATATAGAAAACAATTTGGAATCACAACCTGGCAACAATGTTTTCGTTTTAATTCAATATTTCCGAGAATTTAGTGCCTACTATTATGGAATTTTTATAGGCACTAAACTAGTGAGAAAGGAAAATTACCTGATTTTCTCTTCAGATATGCTAATTCTGAATCAGTTACTTCAATGATATTGATAACAATATTTTCATATCGTAATAGGTGGAGCGTTTGATAAAATATCATCGAATTTCTCGCATACATCATCGCAATATTTAATTTTATCCCCTTTTATCGAAATGTTACTTACTTTATAATTGAATTTCCTTAGTAACAAACAAATTTTACCATGTGGTTGTACGAGGTATATTAAAAAAATAAGGTGAATTTTCATTTTTCCCAAAAAATATTCATCAATTCCTATTTCGTCCCCTTCAAAGTAGCACTCCTCAGATATAATACACTTGTACCAGCGTTTTTTCCAATCCTTGAAGCAGCTCTGATATTCACTTTTTGGTATGGCATTCATGGGTCTCTTCAATCTTGGAAACAGAAAAAAGGCACATGGGGCCTAAGTCTGGTGAATACGGTGGCTGTGGCATGATGACTGTGTTGTTGTTTGCCAAAAATTTACGAACATTATCGTGATGCAAAAGACATGAATTATTTTTTTACAATACCGGACGTTTTCTTCATTTTCTTCGTCACAGTAATCGAACAGTGGGAAAAATTTTGGAATTTGTTCGAACTTAGCGTAATTTTCTTGGTATTTGCTCTCATGTTCGACACAAGTGTACATTCATAAAAAAAAGCTCGATAACGTAGCCCGCGAAATTTGAACATTAACCTTATTTTTTTACAGACCTCGTATACCGGTAAAGCATGATTCCAACTGCGTTTCATCAAAAATTATGAACAATTGCATGGCTTTCAAAGAATATCTCACATATCTATTAGAATATTGTAAAACATAACTACTTTCAGCCTGTGGGATGTGACAGAATGTTGGGTTCAAGTGCTAGAGAAGATCAATGCCGTGTGTGTGGAGGAGATGGCACCAGCTGTAATACTTTCACAAATACGATACAAATGAAAGATATGCAAGTTGGTAAGAATATTAATAATTAATACTAGTCACTATTTTTCAACAAAAACCTGTCCAATCAACGCTAATTCCGATAAAGTTGCATTTAGACCCAGTTTGACAAAGTTTTTCATCTAAAACATGTTTCTCGAATTTGTTTTACCTTCGAAATGATGGAACTGATCATGATGGGATATATAAAAAAATTGAATATTTTTATCTTTGTAGCAGTATAACACTATTTCTAGGTTCTTAAATAAAGACACTGGATATTTTGTACCTTGTGTTGAATGGTATTATTATTTCTCTGTACTTCTAGTTTCAATGATACAGTGATTATTTTGAAATAGGCCAATGATATTGTTGAAATTGTTTTAAATCTACAACACCGAGATATTTTCAGGATACAATGACATACTGCTGATTCCTGCTGGAGCTACTAACATCAGGGTAGAAGAATTGGCTCCATCAAACAATTATTTGGGTGAGCACAATAAATTGCAATATTTATTTTACTCGCATTGATATTGTTTTTATCAAAAGCTGATGCTAATTTTCGAATATTTCTAAACTTTTAGCAATAAGAAATAAAACTGGATATTATCACTTGAACGGAAACTGGAGGATAGACTTTCCCAAATCCCTTGATTTTGCTGGATGTAGATTCAAATATGAAAGAAGCCCGCAAGAATTCGCTGCTCCTGATATAATTACCGCTTTAGGTCCTACTGATGAATCACTATTTTTTGTGGTGAGTATTTCCGAATCGGATTCAAACGATACAAAAAGACAATATTATATTTTACGAAATGTACCCTCAACTTCCTTATATTAGATTGGAGCTGCGGCCTGTTTCACTGCGCCCCGTGCTGATCTGTTGTGATGCTCCTTGCTCATCAGAGGGCTTTATCTAGCTTGATCTTCTTGATAAGACTTGAAAGTCTTGCTATATGGCTGATAGCTTATGGTCTCTCATTCTCGAATCTCCCATGTCTTAGCCTTGATAACGCTCCGCATTTACTGAGCTTGTGAAGTGTGGTTTCTTTTTCCTCCCGGCAGAATCTACATGGAGTTTCTTTCGCCAGGTCCATATTGGCGAAGGTTCCTTCATGAACTATTTCTCCTGCTTCATTGATGAATTTTTGTTCCACCAACTTAGCGATTCCGCTTCCATCCACGAATTGACAGATATCTTTATACTGGACTTCGCCAGCTTACAGAAGGGTTCTGGACCTAGCATAGCCTATGGATACACCTTCAGGAGATGAAGCATCGGCCTCCTCATTGCCCTTGGGTCCTTCCGGGTATCCAGACTAAAATAACTGTGGGAACCTAGTTCGTTGAGTGCGCTAAGGCAGCTCTCTACAAGTCGCGAAAGATTCCCTAGGAACACCTTAATTCCCATCTGGCAGTCGGAGAAAATGGCAATGGTTTTGTTTTCAAACTTGTGCCTGAGCAATGCTCCAACGCAAGAACCATTCAAGATTCTCCAAGAACCATTTCCTGAAAAATACTTTTGTTTGAAGGTGATTGACAATGTTTCGTGATGAATTTCACTAGTTCGGACTTCCATTGTCTACTATATAAAATGATTTGAAATCCCTGAAACAAGTAAAAAAGAATAATTAAAAAAGAATAGTTGAAAATAACAATTATATTAAGCAACAATAAACC